TGGTGAGAAGGGAACAGACAAGAAAGTTCTCTGTTTCATAGTGTCATCCCCAAGGGCCTGTGGTGAATGCCACTGGGTCCACTGTTAGCAATTATATTCTTTTGAGTCAATGAGCCATCTTCAGTTTAGATACAAATGAACCGAAAGAAGTTACTAACCTATTAGGTGTTAGCTTATTAAATAGCTGATTAAAGCTATTAGATATTAAGCTTATTCAATAGCTTGTTAAATAGCTTGTTAAATAGTATACAGGGCAGTGACATGTAGTAGATAAAAGCAATAGTGATTATAACATTAAGAGCTAACAATATATATTGAGCACTCTTCAATGGACCAGGCCCTGCGCTAAGCACACTGCATGCATTGTCCTCTTAATCCTGGAAAGAATCAAGTCCTTAATTCCAAGCCCAGACATACCCATCTGTCCCTGCAAGCAAGATCTTGTTGCACCATCCTGCTGAACCACCTCGCTCAAGTAAGAGAAACACCAAAAGCACAAACATCTGGAGCTGAAGGAGCCTGGCAGCTGTCTCCATTTCAGAGACCAGAGATCTGAGGCTTGAGAGTGAAGCCCTTTCTCAAGGTCGCATGACAAAGACATGGGGGAACCAGGACTCTATCTAATGCAGGTGTCTGACTGGGAACTCCCATGCACCTGGCAGGCAGCAGCAATAGGAGCCATGTGCTGGGTTTGGGAGTGGCTCCTGGCAGGAGAGGCAGAAGAGAGCCCCAAGGAGCCAGAGAGGCTGAAAACAAATGTTCAGTGGTAGAAAAGTTGAGTTCCATGGCCGCCACTGTGGCAGGATGTGCTTTGTGTAGAGTCCAACAACTCTAAACCTCAACTATATGTCTTTTAGGCTTGCATACATTTGTGATAAAAGCAAGGGAATAATACACACTAACTTTAGGATAGTGGTTCCCTCTAGGGGTGGAGAAGGGACAAGGGACAGGATAGGGGAAGAACACATAGGTAGATGTAAATTATTGCTAATTTTCCTAGTCCTTGGATTGGATGACAGATTCACCAAGGGTTCATTATATAATTTAAATGCATGTTGAATTTGTTTAAAAATATACAATAAAAGAGCCAGGTATAAAGAGTTTGTCTTGAACCACGATTATGAAAAAAATTCAAATTTGTGCATCCAAGGACCAGATTTTTTTAAAAATAAAGGATGGGGGAATACAAGTGAACAGCCAAGTACCCATTATGAAACTTAAGAAATAAAACAGTCCAAATACAGGTGAAGCCCCCTGTGTACTCGTCCCCAATCCCATTTACCTTCTTTTTCCCCAGAGGACACCTCTTTCATGACTGGTGTTTTGTGTTCCCTTGCTTCTCTTCCAAAAAACTTCTGTACATATATATACATCCATAAACAACAGATAGCAGTTTTTGCATGATTTAAAACACTAAATAAATTATTCTATGCATAATAGCCTATTTCTGGCTTTATTCACTCAGCACTATGTTTTGGCATTGCTAGCTCCACTTCCTTCATTTTCTCATCTGTATAGTATGTACTTTATTAGATGAACATGGCATAATTTATCCATCTGCTTGGTGTGGGACATTTAGCTGTTTATAATTTTTTGCTGCTATAAATAATGCCGCCATCAACATTCTTAGCCTTATCTCCCTATGCACACATACAAGAGTTTCTCTAGACAATGCCTTGGGATGGAATTGTAGTTACACAGGTAACAAGACATGCACATCTTCAGCTTCACCAGGCAATGCCAAATTGTTTCCCAAAATGGTTGTGCCAACGTGCACACCCACTAGCGCTGTACGAGCGCTCCCATTGGCTCCCATTGCTCTGTGTCCCCACCAGCACTTGGTTTCGTCCAACTTTTTCCTTTTCTGCCATTTGGGTTGGTATGGAGTGCTGCGGAGGCTTGGCATTTCTCTAATTAGTAATGTGGTTCAACATCTTTTCTTGTGTTTATAGGACATGCATGTAGCCTCTTGTAAAAAGAATTTTTGTGTATTTTGCCAATTTTTTTTCTTATTGGAATGTTTGTCTTTCTTATCAATGTACAGGCATTAATTGTATATTTTGGATGTGCTTTTGTTGGTTTTGTAAATACCTTTTCTCTCTCTTTTGTATTTTTAGTTGAACAAAAGTTTTTAATTTTGCTATTAAGAACTCATTAGTTTTTAACTTATTAGTTTCTTCATTGTCAGTTTGTACTTTTGAAGCCTTGTTTAAGGAATTCTTCCTGACCTTGTGGTAATGTATATGCAATGTCTATTGCAACCTCTGTGTATATCGGGTTTCCGTATTTGCTGGCTATTTTACTTTGTCATCGCTCTGTTGGTCTGTCTCTGTGCCAAAGCCATCTTAACCACTGCAACTTTATAATAACGTCCACTAGAGCAACTTCTCTCTACTTCCTTGTCACTATTGCTGTTGTTACTATTGTCTTCTCCTCCTCCACCTCCTCCTTGTATTCTTTCTTCTTCTGGAATGTCGTAGTTATTTTTGCACTAAAGTTCTCTATACATTGTAGAAACACGTTGTTCATTTCCAGGGTAAACCCTGTTCAGATTTTGATTTAAATTATACCTATAAATTATGTTGTAAAGATTTCACATCTTTGTGGCATGGAATCTTTGTATGATTGAATATGGTATGTCTCTCCCATTTACTTAGAACTTCTTTAATGTCTTTCTATAAAGTTTTATCATTTTTCACATAAAGGTCTTGCACATCTTTTGTTGGATTTATCCCTAGGTTTCTGTTCTTTTGAAAATAATATCATTTTTTGGAAATTCTCCTTTATAACTCTGTATTGCGAGTTGTATAGAAATGCTGCATTAGTTCCTCTTGAAAGAAGACAGATTTTCAACTACTCAGGGTTGACACCGGAGTGTATGTGTCAACAGGTACAGGGTAAATTAGATATTCAGAGCTGATGTTCAGTGGTACACAACAGCATGGCTGTACTGCTTACAAAAACATTGAAATACTGCCCTAGTGAGGTCCCCTGATTTCTCCCCTGCCACCCTGGCCATCCTGACCTCTCCCCCTGGATAGGCCCAGACTTCCCCAAGCTCCAGACCCCACTGACTTAACACCCAGCACAGCACGGAGCCTCGGGACTTGCTCCGCTGGAAAGGCCAGTGTCTGTGCTGATGTTTTGATTTCCATGCCTTGCAAGTTGTTAAATATTTTTAACATTACCTCTTAGGCTCATATGTTGGTGCTAACAGAAACACCAAGGGTGAAATGTTAATCTGAGTGGTTTTTCAACCAGAGGTGCAGAGAGCTCAGAAAGAGGTGATCAGCTTTGGGGTTCAAGGAGGGAGTCAGGAGATCTGAGCTGCAACTAAGAAGATACTGTTCAGACCTAAACATTTGTAGCCCCATAACATGCTGAAATAAAAAAAAAATTAAATTCAATTGAAAAACACAAGATACTGGTCAGTACCTGCCTCTGATAATCCCCACCGAAATCCCCACAACCTCACCACACTCCTCCACTGGAAGTTCCTGCAGGAACGTCAAATGCAACACATTTCAGACTGAACACATCATCTCCATCTGCTAAATCTACTCTCTTCCTGACTTCCCTAATTAGTGGAAAAGCATCTTCAACAACCTTGTCCCCTACAATAGAAAATCCAGAATCACCCTAGACTCTGTCTCACCCTTATTTCTTCTCTTTTATTGTTTACCAAGATCTGTCAATTCTATGCCATAAAAAACTCTTGAATCCAACCTCTTCTCCACTCCCATTGCTGCTGTCTCCTGAATTTTGGAACAGTTTCCTAACCTGGCCTCCAGCCTCTTTAGTTCCTCCAGTCCCTCCCTTACACCACTCCTGGAATTCCAGTCCCCACCTGGTACATTAGCCTACTGGCTTCCTCATCTGTGGACTGGAGGGCAGTGGGAGCCTTGGCAGGGAGCAGGGTTTGATCACTACACTATGCAGAATGGTGCTAACAAAAAGTACATCAAGTTTGAGCTGGTTTATTATTGGGTTTAAATTCTGTACAATGCACCCCTTTGGCTACATCCAGCCAGTGTTCCCACTCATTCTCCTTGGTATGATGCTGGAGATAATATGATCTGCCTCAAAGAGCTTCTGTGAAGGTTAAATTAAACAATGTTTGCAGAGAACTCCGCCCAGGCCCCTGCACGTGGTGAGCACTGTGTCAGTGTAACAACGATTAGTGATAACACTGTCATCGGTTCCCTGTGCCCTGCAAAGCCCTTCAAGCCTGGCCTGGGTCACTCCCTTCCACCTTCATTGAACCCTATTCTCCGGCTATGCCAGACTGTGTACTCTGCCTTAGACACACCAAGTTCTTCCATGTTCCCCATGCAAATGCCCTTTACTCCGCCTAGAATGGTGTTCCTTCTTTGTCAATTCATCATTTAAGATCCGGCTCACAGTCACGCTTTCTGTGAAACCTTCCTGAAATTACCCACACAAAAGGAAAGACTCCTCCCCTGTGCTCTTACGGCCCTCTGTTCCTATCTTCTCTTTAAAGCCTGGCTTGGCTGGAGCGCCCGGAAGGGAGAGCCTGTATAATGCTCATCTTTGTATCCAGAGTCATCAAAATTGCATCTGCCCCATAGTAACTCAATACTTGCGGGGATTTTGCTTGTTGGCTTGTTTTACTGGAATGAATGGATAAACGGATGAATAAATGGGACTTCACCCTAAGTCTAGCAAAAAGTTTGGGAAGTGACAGTTTTGGTTATTTCATGTAACATGATACTGGAGCCCTCATTCCTTTGCTCCAAGAAAAATATTCCCCAGTACTAGAATACCTGTTTTCTTAGGGAATTGACCTCAATAACTGAAGGAAAGGCGATTTCAAAGCAGGGAGAGAGATGAGTAGGTCAACTCTGTCATCGCAGCCATCCCTGAGAGGGCGCTACTCCCAAATCGAGCCCCCAGAGGCGGGGACAGAGCTTTCCCGCCCGACGCGGGCAGCATCCCTTCGCCGCCAGCCGCCGCAGGTCCCCAGCGGAGCGCCTGCCCACAAACATGGCGGCGCCCTGCGCGGCTTCTCGTCGCCGGGACCGTGGGGCCCGCCCGGCCTTGCCAGTACTCGGGGACTTCCTCCGCGCGCCGGCTTTCTGCCCAGCTGGCATTTAAACCGGCGCCCGAGGCTGCAGGATGCTGCTGCGGATGCGGAGCTGTCCGCGGGCTGCGCAGCGCTGTCGCCTCTCCTGAGCCGCGTCGGCCCTGCTGGAGCGAGCCGAAGCATCCCTTGGCTGCACGCTGGGCAGAGCGGGCGACGGCTGGGGGGAGATCCGGGACCCCGGCATCTGGCGGTTTCACTGTAGGCTCGACGTTACTTTCCAAGCGTGCAGCCCTCCTCCTCCAGCCAAGATCGTTTTTTCCTCCTCCGGCCTGGGCTGCTGATCGGGCAGGGACTGGGCTCGGTCCCCGGAGCAAGAAAAGAGCGCGCTCCCGGCCCCCCGAGCCGCGCGCCCGGGCCATGGTGCGGCTGAGCCCCGCGCTCCGGTGAGGCGGCGGCGCGGCCAGGAGCCGGCGGGCCGGCCCTTCTCCCGAGGCGCCTTCCTCCGGGGCTGCGCGCAGGCGGCCAGCGGCGGCCGCGATGTTCAGCTGGCTGAGTAGCGACGACCGCCGGAGGAAGGACCCCGAGGTCTTCCAGACGGTGAGCGAGGGGCTCAAGAAACTCTACAAGACCAAGCTGCTGCCCCTGGAAGAGCATTACCGCTTCCACGAGTTTCACTCGCCCGCGCTGGAGGATGCCGATTTCGACAACAAGCCCATGGTCCTGCTGGTGGGCCAGTACTCCACTGGGAAGACCACCTTCATCAGGTGAGCGGGCCCAGGGTCCAGGCAGCCCACCCGCCGCCCAGCGCTTAGTCCCTCGGGCCACTCCCGGTGCTACACTCCTGCCAGGGGACAAATGGGAAGCCTTCAGTGGAGGCCTCTGAAGAAATCCGAGTGTGCGGGCATTAAAAGCTTATCCCACAATTTTTGCTGCCCCACTCCCCGTCATACCCAGTGCTTCTCCACTGTACTTAGCCCTTGGCTCAGGTGGTGGATTTGAAGTGTTCAAGTTCAGAGCCATCCCTGGTCTCCCCATTTTATGGATGCTGAAACCGAGGCCCAGCAGGCACTTGTGGGAGAGCTCCTTGTCTCCGGAGCACCTTATGCTGGTGGGGGTATCTTATATCCTCACTTCTTAGGGACGCGTCCTTCATGGTCAGGACCACTTCCCTTTGCCTTTTACAGGGCTTGGCACTCAAATGGGGGCCTCACAGTTGCAGCTGAGGAGCTCTGATGGGAGCAGGCTTGGGAATGGAGGTGGGCTGTGGCCTCCTGCCTGGCAGTGCCACCTGTCCTTCTTTTATCATTTTCCTTCTCTGAGGCAGAGAAGGCTCCTATGTGAGCATCTTGGAGACTCGACAGAAGCAGAGTCCAGAAGCAGAATGCTTTTATTCTTTTCTCTTATTTGATCTTAATGGCTCAATAATAATATTAAAGACTTTTAGAGGGGGAAGGGGTATTGGCATCATCTCATCCAGCCCTTTGACTTTGCAGGCGAGGTAACAGAGGCACAGAGAAATGAAATGAAGTGTCCGAAGTCATACAATGGGTGGGCAGCAGATTGGGCTGCAAGTCCTAGATGCATGCGAGGAGATGGTTGGCAAAATGCCTGTAACTTGGAAGGCAAGTCATCCATTCCCTTGAATTACAGAATCCTTGGGCTGGAGGCATCCTCAAGAAGTCAGCTTGTCCCCCTACATTCAGAGAGGGCCTCATACTGTCCGCCACGGTGGTGAGAATCCTTCCCATCTTTAGGGAACAGGCTCCTCTCCAGTCCTCAGTCCACCCAAACGTCAAGGCCAGGCCATGTTTCCTCACGTCATTTACAGCCATTCCAAACTGTTGAAGGTGCTGTGGCCCTCTGAGTTAAGAGTCAGGCCCCTACAGCACGAGAATGGGGTTTGGTGGCTCCCCAAAGTCAAGGGTGCTCATCGCCTGCAGAGGGTTTGAGAGCAGGGGTCCTCTGGTTCCCATTCCTTGGCTGTTTGAACATCTGCGACATGCAAAGCCCTGTGCTTGCTTTGTTGAAGAGAGCAGAAAAGTTAAGTCTGTTTACTGATTTTCTAGGTACTAATTTTCTCTAACGCTAAGCTTGTAATACAAGCCTTCTGGGAGCAGGAGGTATACCATGCTAACGTGTCATGTCTGAACAGAACACCAGATTGAGTTTGTCCTTGTGGAGTGGACAGCCTTGGGCACAGCAACTTTGATTTCTGAAGAAGTTCAGGACCTGAGGGCAATGGGCCTGTTGGCTCTTGTCTATCCTATATTGGTAGAATGGCAAGAGCCCTTCGAGATTAATCTAATCCATGGCTTCTTAACTCCTTAGAAAGTCAGCACCTTTGGAAATCTGATGAAAACTGTGGACCTATCATTAGAAAAGTGCACATACATACCAAGTTTGCATATAATGTTGGGCGTCCAAGAGCTATCCGTGGACCTTAGGGTGAGAACCCCGATCTAATCCATGTCCCTTGTTGTCTTAAACACCCATTGTTGCCAAAGGTACTTCAGAGCTACCTGGGTTTCATACAAGGTTTCTTTTGTGATCTCTGTCCTCCACCAGTTCACATTTCATGGGAAGCACAGGCTGTTTGCAGACTTCTTCCCTTGTGCATCCTTCCCTGGCTCTCTGGACAGACCTTGGTTGCAATTCTTAGTACATAATTTGGAGCTTCTCCTTCCTGGAGCATGAGCACTTACAGTGCAGCATCCATGCCTTAGCATCTCTGGGGGCCTTGCCCAGGGTCTCAGCTACAGGAGGTTCCCAACAGACATTTTGCAGAACGGGAGGGAAGATAGGGAGAGATGAGTGTCCCTGGAAGCAGGATCCCCAAGCAGCAGACAGGTTTAAGTGCCTTTTGTCTGAGACACTCTCCTGGCTTTGCCTGAGTCATCGCTGGCTGGTAACTGGGTCTGAGAAAGTGGCAGAGTCCAGTTGCCACAGATGATTCTTTATCTGAGGGAGACAGGAAGGCTGCGAGAGGCAGGTCTCTCTTCTCTCTTATCTTCCAAGTACAAGAGTTCCCCCTCCCCACTCATGTCAGTAACTGAATTTAGCGCAACCACCAAAAGCTGTCTACCCTTGAAGGAGAGTCAACCAGCAGGGTAGGAGGGGTTGTAACACAGGGAACCCTCTAGAACAAACTACATATTTTTCTTTCTGCTCATCAAATTCAATAAACAGTTATTTTTTGTTAGAACATTCAAAAAAGTACATTTAAAGAAGAAAAAAATTGCCCATATTAGTCATAATCCCATGACTTAGGGAAAACCATTTTAAATTTATATATATATATTTTTTCCACTATTTGTGGCTATTTTATAACACAGTTGAAATCATGATAGATATAATTTTGTATGCTGGCTTTTTTTTTTTTTTTACTTATAACATGAGCATTTCCCATATAATTAAAAAATCTTTGTAAGCATTATTTTAAACAGCTGCATAAACATCTCACTGTATATATATATGCAATTATTCATTTAACTAATCTACTTCTTTTGGATGTTTTAGGTAGTTCCTAATTTTTTGCTATTGTAGAATCACTCTGAATATTTGTGTGCATATTTTTCCATATATTGGACCGTTTTTTCAGATTCCCAGAAGTGGAATTACTAGGCCAATGGTTGGGCAGAGTTTTATGCTTAAAATTTTTTTTTTCTTTTTACTGTTTAGTTTTGTATTGAGTCATATTTCACAGTTGCTTTCCAAGAGGGTAAGTTGGTACCACCTCCCTTCCCCAAATCGAGTAAGGCTCCCTGAGGAGGACCTTAGTGGAGTGCCTTGGTCTGAGCATGTCCTCTCCTCTCCGCCTTCCCCCATCCCTGCCTCTTGCCTCGATTCTCATCTCTGTCCTGAACCTGCAACGGGCCTTTCCCAAGGAAACAAAAACTTGTCTCTTCTTTCCCCCAGTTCTTGGCCTTTTGCCTCCTGAGTGTCCATCCACTTTCAGTTATATGTGCTGGCCACGGGGTCTATTTCTTGTCTCAGGAAGAACACACAGAAAAGGACATTCTTCTAATAACTAATTAATGTGCTATGATCTCTGCCTGAAATAACTTCCTTGGCCTAAGGCCCGGCAACCCAGAGTAATAAAATAAACAATAAATTGGCTTGGCGGCCGCTCTCTCCAACACAGACTGCCTCTTTGGAATACAGTAGCTCTGTGTCCCTCTGGCCCTGGCAGCCTTTCCTCCTGCCTCTGCTATTTTTCACCCCTTGCTATTTCTCTTGCTGGTCTGCAGCCGTAAATCCCTCCCCTCTTGGACCATTTGGCCCCTGGTCACTCCTCCTTGCTGCCCGCTTGCCATGGCTCCTCTGTCCTGTGGGTATGGAGGTGAGGGTCTGGCTGCCTGGGGCTGGGGAAGGCTCACATGGACGGTGGCAGGGCTGCAGTAGAGGGCCCAGGGGCTCGGCAGTGGGGCCTGGGGCTACAGAGCTAAGCTGCTGGCATCTCCGCAGGGGGCGCTGAGCTGGTCTGGGGAGTTGCATGGACCTTCCATAGTGCAATGTGGACTCTGAGACTTGAGCACCAGGTGGGCTGCTTGGCTACTCAGCTGGCCCTTTCAGCCTCCTATTTCGTCAGCAGACTCTGCACCCCCTGCAAAGGTAACAGGCCTTTGCCTGTGGCTGCACCGGCTCTCGTCCGCACCTGGCATCCCCACCCAGGCACCACAGCATCACCATCCTGGCTAGACCCACTGACCTCTGCAAAGGCCATCCTTCCAGCCACAATCCCTGCAACACCTCAGTCCCTGTCCACCCTCTGAGGTCAGTGGTTGTCCTTTGTCTGTCAGGGATCTGATCTGCTGGGTCTCTAAATGGGACTAGGTGAGAATCCACCTGCTTCTTATAAGGCCTGAGTGTCACCCAAGGGAGCAGACGGCCCAAGGCCAGATGGTCTGCCTGCCTCAGGTCCAGTTCAGGGTCTGCCTTGAGAGTCAGGTGTCTGGAGGTCATCAGGAAAAGCACTTACCGGGAGGAGGAAGACCTCTGGGGAAAGGTCTCCATCCTATTCCCATGGACAGGGGGACCAAGGCCACGGACCACGGTCTGAGTCAGCAGAACCCAGGCTCCGCCACTTCCTAACCAAGGGTCCTGGTTAGGAAGGCCCAGCTGAGGTCAGGCCCCTACCCTTTCCCACCCTCACTTACCTTATCTCTAAGGTGTGAAGAATAATAACTTCCCTGCGGCACCCATGTTCCAGGCACCATGCTTAGGGCTTTATCATTCCCTTTCCTCTTTCCAGCTCGATTCTCTAACATGAGACTCAGAGGCTGACCCTCGCGTGGGTGGGGGAGCCCTTCTCCAGCACGAGGGGGAGGGGATCCTGCCTCCCCGAGCAGCCGCTATCTCTGCCGACAGTGCCGGGTACTGCTCTGGGTGGGCTGGCCTGTCGCAGGGTAGGGTCAGGCAAGGGAGGCTAGCAGGAGGCTGGACAGTCTGACCACCAGATTCTCCTCGTGCTGGAATCTCTTCATCCCGTGGCCGAGGGTACTGTGCTCCAGGGACAACGGAGCTGACTCATACCTCAACTTGGCCATCAGGGCCTCCCAGCCACTTTGTCACTGTGTCTGCCGGGTACGTTACAGTCTCCCCGGGATCCTCGGAGGCCGACAGGGCGAGTGTTATCTTGGGTTCAGCCAGTCCTGCCCCTCCTTAGGCTTGTGTGTCCCCATCTCAGCTGTTCCCACCTAGGCTTGAATTAATTTTTCTTTTTTTACACTGCTGTGGGAATATTTTCGCCTGGCAACGGAGGCGATCTGTCTCACTTCCCCATAATCAGTGCATGAGATTCCTCAATAGATTTTCCTTTCTGAACACAGTGGTGGCTTTGTTACAGGGGCACCAGTGCTGCGAACCCTGCCCACATGTCCCTGAGAATCTACCCAGCCCCAGGTTCTCTGCTTGGCCTGACTGTGCTCCCTGGCCTTGCCGGTGGCCTCGTTAGACTCATTGTTTCCCCAGACCCATGTGTGGTCAGCAACTTTTGGGTCATGTGGGTTTAGCAGGACAGCAGGCCCAGCCTGAGGCCCCGGCTCAGCTGCCTCAGGCTGCGGCACCTTAATCCCAGGAAGCTGCCCTGTTAGGCTGGGAAGCCTTTGTTCATCCGCTGAGTACAGCATGTCTCTCTCAGAGATGGAATTTGAGACGCCTGCATGAGGAAGATACTTCATCCCTGCTGTTTGGCCCTGTTCATTCTGGGCGTTTTCAAGGCTGCCTCAGAATGGTTCTTTGTGCCGCCGTTTCCGCAGTCCCTGGAGCCTTTGATGGTGCCCTTCGCTCCCCCCACTGCCCGTCCACACTTGCCACCCCCCTTGCAGGGCCCTGCTTAGGGCGCCTCATCCAAGCTCTCCCCAGGTCAGGGGCTCCGGCAAGCAAGAAAGGATGGGGTTTCCCGTCTTGGAAACCTTGCTTCCCAGAGGAATCTGGCCCTACTGTTTTTTTTGTTTGTTTGTTTGTTTGTTTGTTTGAGACAGAGTCTCACTATGTTGCCCGGGCTAGAGTGCCGTGGCGTTATCCTAGCTCACAGCGACCTCAAACTCCTGGGCTCAAGCGATCCTCCTGCCTCAGCCTCCCGAGTAGCTGGGACTACAGGCATGTGCCACCATGCCCGGCTAATTTTTTCTATATATTTTTAGTTGTCGGATTAATTTCTTTCTATTTTTAGTAGAGACGGGGTCTTGCTCTTGCTCAGGCTGGTTTCGAACTCCTGAGCTCAAACAATCCGCCCGCCTCGTCCTCCCAGAGAGCTAAGATTACAGGCATGAGCCACCGCGCCCGGCCCCTACTGTTTTTAAATCCCAAAAATGTCCTTTTAGAGCCGTTGGAAACCTTGCTTCCCAGGGGAATCTGACCCTACCATTTTTAAATCTCAAAAATGTCCTGGGCCCTTCTCTGGTCACCTGATATTAAATAGCAACAGCTTTTGCATGCCACAGCCCAGTCACTGAGGCCAAGCTGGGAGCCCAAGGGCTGATGTTAGGTGATGAATACATTCCTGGGACGGTGGACCCTAAAGCCTCACCCCATGCCCCAGGCCTGGTCCTGGCCAGCCTCCTACCCAAACCGTATTCCTTTGTGATTCCTTCTAGTTCCATGTGAGGCTCAGCCCTTTTGGCCTGTCCCCAGAGATGCTGCATTACCTGGTCAAGGGGTGACCTAAGGCAGGAAATGTAGTGGTTGGGAGCATGAATTCTCAAATCCAAGTGCCAGGTTGCAGTCCTAGCCCTGCTAGTTATGGATTGCATAACATGGGGCATGTTGCTTCACCCTTGTCTTGTCCTTAAAAATGGGGCGATAATCTAGGTGTCAGGTACTGGTTAAATGCTTAACGTCTGTAACTAATTTAATCCTCAGAACACCCTATTAAGTAAGTTTCTTATTAGGCCCTTTTGATGATGAGAATCATAGTGGTCACATCAGAGTGCAAGTGAAGATGAAACGAGATAATCCATGGAAAGTTCAGAACAATGCCCAGCACACCACAGGTGCTCAATAATTCTGAACTATTACCCCCCTATGTTACGGAGGGAGGTACTGAGTTTCGCTGAGCTAAGTACTCTCTGAACGGCATAGTCCTCATGGTTAGAGAAACGAGATCAGCTTGTCCCAGCCTCTCCCAGGAGCCCCTGAAGGAGCAGGTGCTCTGAGAAAGCGGGAAGTGCTGTCCCAGTGTGCAGCTGTTGTGATTTATTTCATCACAACCCCAGTGCCAGCTTTCAAAATGATCCTTTGGCCACAGGAAGTCCTGCCCTCACGCCCTATTTGTCAGGCTGTGATCTGGAGGGATGGGGGGCTTCCCAGGGCGACCTGAAACCCGCCTGTGGCTGGTGTGGCGCGGTGGCCTGCTGGGCAGCAGCACCGCATGCTCTGGGCACATCCACAGCTTCCTCTGCAGCTGCGTGCCATGCCATGGCTCTCCCACTCCCAAATCCCACCGTACACTATTACATTTGCCTAATACCCAAAGGCACAAGAGAGAGGATAATTTATTGAATATGTCTGATTAGGTACTATATACAAGCATTTGGAATATAGTCTCTTCTTTGAAAGTTTGAATTAAATGGATAATGACCAGAGAGATTGAAAGGGTCACAGTCAGCTTCTGTGCTTAAAAAATAAGATCATATATGTGTAAATATGTGTGAGCACATAATAACATAGCACTTGTGTGCATAGGACATTTCCAGAAAGGGGAAGATGCAAAGTACAGATACTATAGAGTGGGATCAGAAGTCCAGGATGGGATGGAGATTCACTTTTCGTAGTGTACCTTTTACACTGTTTGTATTTTGCATCATGTGTGAGCTATGTTTGTATTAAATAACTAACCAGGTAAATGAATAATGACCTGTGAAAAGGCAGCAGAGTCTGTGGATGGTCAAATTCTAACTGTGCCTTTGCGCAGGTACTTCAGGTTACCTTCAGTGACAAAGTCCTCTGTGTAGAAATCAATTTCAATCATGCTTTATTTCTGAGCCCAAGTCTTGCTTTTATCCCCATACTGATTGAAAAAGAGAAAGAGATAAGGACCGAGAAGAACAGATAGGATACTTTGAGTTCAGCTGAGATTCCACCTCCTCTACAGAGTTCTTTGGACTCGTGGTCCAGCAGTTGTCTCTCCCCACCACGAGATCTCACGGGGGCCCTGGATCTGCCCTGTCCTCTGACTCACGTATTGTCCGCCTTCTAGCAGCCGTGGAGTGTTGGTCCATGGGCAGAATGCCTGCATTGTGACTGTGCTCTTTCCACCAGGTACCTGCTAGAGCAGGACTTCCCAGGCATGAGGATTGGGCCCGAGCCCACCACGGACTCCTTCATTGCGGTGATGCAGGGAGACACCGAGGGGATCATCCCCGGGAATGCGCTGGTGGTGGATCCGAAGAAACCCTTCAGGAAACTCAATGTCTTTGGCAACGCCTTCCTGAACAGGTGAGTGTGGAGGGGAACACAGGGCCTTGGGGTGTTCTCTTTTCTTCTTCTCAGGGTATGGGAAGTGAAAGGACAAGAGCAGGGTCTTGGGAGGCTTCATGCCTTTCCATACCTGGAGTCTCTGCATTGTCCCTTGTTCCCTGGGAATGTAACTGAGTCAGTGGCCATTGTGAGGTGCAGGAGCTGCCAATGCTGGACTGATTCCTCCTGATTAAGGAGCAGGGGAGGGTACAATGACGACTTAGATCACATTCCCCTACCTGCATCTCCCCCTGCCCAGTAAAATGGGAGAACGATGCTCTATATAGTTCCCAGCATTTGCCTAAACATACCATGGCTGGGATTTGCATCTGACTGGAGGGAGGCAGAAGAAGGTTCTCTTCTGTCCCTGGACATTGTTTTTACTTGACGAAAAGAACCCTGGACTTAAGAGGGAAGCCTTGGGTTTGAGCGCTGACTCTCCTACTGAACCACATGACCTTAGACAGGTCACCTCCCCTCCCCTGGGGTAAATTCAGGCCTACAGATACCAAGATCGTCATGACGATTTGAGTGGAGAAAGCTCTCGGGAATGCCTGGCAAGCTAGTTGGGGCCTTCACATTATCATTCTGCTTAACGTTCTAGTTAAGGCCTATCCTCTGCTCACATTCGTTATGCTCACGAATCCAGTTTTACACATGCATTGCCCTTCATAATTTTAAAACTACTTTTTCTAATTGGAAGTATTTAGAGTAAAGGCAAAGAATATAGGCTTCGGCTTCAGGTAGACCTGGGTGCAAATCCTGCCCAGTACTATGGATCTTGAACAAGTTACCAAACTTCTTTGTATCTAACTTTTCCCATCTGTGAAACAGGATGATAGTAATATCTTCTTTGAAGGTGTTGAAGGAGAAATAGGTGAGAAAATGGACACAAGACACTTCATGTCTGGCACACAGTAACCAATAAGTTGTGATACTGTTACCATGCAGTGTTCATTTGATTTTCTCCCTAATCATTCAGGGAAGGAAACAGTCATCCGTGGCCATTTTTCAGTTGTAGAAGTTGAGGCTCTTTGCCCAAAGGATTCTCAACATCTCTGATCCTGGGTAATACTTTTTATAAAGCTATGAACTTACCTGTGACAAAAAGTCGGCAACACTCTGAGACAGGGACAGGGAGGGACAGTGAGCAGGGGAGGGGTCTCGCCGAGAAACCTTGGGAAATTGGCCTGGCAGGTAGGAAGCCCAGGAATTTGGCTTGTTTATGTGGGGAATGAAACTGCAAACTCAGTATGTATGGGAAGATGAAGGTGGTAGTGGCAGCGAGGTGCAGTGGGACAGGCGTCCTGGAGTCCAGGAGTATCTCTGATACCTGGGGCTGAGTGAGGAGGTCCCGGTTGCCCGAGGTGCTGAAATGCAGAAATGGCTGGGGTGGGGACAAGCATGATCCAGAAGAGTGAGTCGGCAGGGTGGGACAGAGGCAGGCACAGCTTAGGGAGGGGGCCGTGAATTTGATTTCGGATACATGGAGTTTGCAATGACTGTGAGTGCCCTGAGGAGCATTGTCCTGTCTGAGTAGGGAGAGGAGGAGGAGGATCCCAGGTGAGAGGAGAGAAGAGCCTGGGGCAGGTAAGAAATACCTGGGCCCACTGGAAGAGAGAGGCACAGGCTTAGTGTTTAGCCCCATTTGGGGATAATTGTGCTTATAACGATAATAGTACATTGTACTATATGTAATAGCGTAAAGTCTATCATGATAACGGAATGTGTGTAATCGCCACCATACCCTGGTGCATTCTTGAGGGCTGAGAGCCCTTATGTCTTAAACCGAACCCGGCAAGTCTTGCTGACTCTTGTTAAACGTATCGAAACCAGGAGGTGTGTGAGGTGGGGTGGGGGTGGTTTGCCCTGGGTAAAGATGTTTAACCTCTTTGAATGTTATCATGTTCATCTAGACAATGATAAAATGTAAATTTCCCTAATCTCTTCCTGGAAATGTTGTATAAAATATAATCTGAGAAAGATTGTATAAAAATAATCTGAGAAAGAAAAAAGTATGTGATGTAGTTCCCCGCAAGTGTTGATAGTAGTTACATTTAGGAAGAGGAATTGAGGAGGGAAGAGGGGTGGAGGAAGAGGACTTTTCTATTTCATTGTATGTCTTACTGAACTATTTATCTTTCTTACCATCTGCATTTCTTTTACAAAAAATAATTTATAAAGAAAATATATATGAAGGCATTACAAAAAGAATAACATGCCCGTGATACCATTACGGGGTCAGGAGTCTCTGTTTACATCTGTGATTAAATCTGTGATTTCAATGAATGAAACGTTCAGCCTGATGAAGCTGACGCAGCAAGACCCCGCATTTCCAGAATGACCTTTCTGGCATCTAGCCTGGGGCGTGGACTTCAATAAGGGAAGAACTATGGCCGTAGGAGGGGCCGTTTCCCATCTCCCTCCTGGGTGCCCTGCTAAGGGATAGAATTCATGTTGTATTTCAACAGACACTAGTCCCCTAGCAGCCTTGGACTCCACTCTGTGTGGGAATATGAGGCCGAATCCAGCCCAGAGGGCACAGGCAGTGATACCCAGGCAAGAGCAATGACAGGGCTGATGAGGCCGTTGTGGAAAAGCTGGCATTTGATATGGCATTAAATGATGAGCAAAATTATTTTTTTTACACTGAAAGTGTAAAAAAAGGACATTCCAGACAGAAAACTGCAGGACAAGGCTTTGGTCACACATGGGGACAGAAAACTGGAGAGAGAGATGTACTACAAGCAGGGAGGAATGGGCGAATGCGGCTCAGTGTAGGCACCCTATGACCAGAAGACAGATGGCATCTTGAGGTTCTGTGATTTTCCGCAGGAGTGCTCAACAGCTGAGACGGTGCGTGTTTAGGTGGGCTGGGGTCTGCCCTGCACGTCCATTGGAAGGACAATAGGGAACAGGAAGACTCTCTTCCATGTGCCACCAGCTTCGCTGCAGCCTGCACAGGGCTGCTGGACCATAGATTTCTGGGTTCCCGTTTCTGTGCTGCAGAGTGGTCCTCATCAGCTCTCATCAGCTCTCCCTCCCCTGCTGCTCTGGAATAAGGCTTGACCGCTCTCCCAATAGTGATGTTGGCCTTTCAATGCCTGAATAAACATTCCTGGGTGGTGTGACCCATCCTTCAAGGCCAGCTCCAGTGCCTTCTCCTCCAGGAAGCCCTCCCTGGAAGCTGTCTCTCTGTCTTGGATCTTCTGAACCCTTCCTCTGACTTCCCTTGGGGTGCTGGTCCCATTGCACTTTGTATTATGGTTGCCTAGGGATAGGCCTCCTCTCCTCCACCAGGCTGTGCTCCTTGGGGACAGGGATTGAGACATCTTAGTGTCCCCAGCAGCAGAGGTTTATAAGCGTGAACCATGGCTGTCTCGGAATCAACCAAGGAGCTTCCTCAAAGTACAGATCCCGCAGCCCACTGCTGGGCTCTCAGTCTGGTCTGGTGCCTGGGAGTCTGCATTTTAAGCCAACCAGACTGGCTTAAAATGCAAATTTCCAGCTTACTATTGTCTTGCACAGAGTAGGGTATTAGTAACTATTCAGTGACACCCCATTTACAAATGAGGGCACATACAGAGAAGCACAATGACTTTGCCAGTGAGGATGGAGTCAGAAGGAGGACCCCAGATCCTGACTGTGCGCAGTGATGGTTTGGGACAGAGCCTCAAAGTCCTCCTGCCCCCGATCCCTAAGAGTTCATTGTAAAGAGGAGGAGGGGGGTCTTTTCACTGACTATCTAAAGAAGCTGAGGGTCTGAGAGGAGCAAGCTAAGTGTAGTCAGTCAAGGCAGGGAGGTAGCTGACCACGACCAACAAAGGACTTGAGGCCACAGGAATCGGACCAAGGCTTTGGTCACACATGGGGACAGGCTGTCACTATGCTGCCCTACTGGTCAGGCAGCATTTTACCAAACACACCCAGTGCCTGGCCCTCTAAGATGGATCGCGGGGAGAGATAAGAGGACTGGGGTTCAGCCCCGAGTTGGGCGTCAGCCACACCCAGGACTCAGCAGGCCCACGTGAGCTGAACCTTCAGCATGCAGCTGCGGCTCACCTGGGAGAGAGACAGGTGGTCGGAGTCAGGGGCTGGGTCAGGGAAGGTGGGCCAGTACTCACCCGGCTTTCCTCTAACTGTGCAGGTTCGTGTGTGCCCAGCTGCCCAACCCCGTGCTGGAGAGCATCAGCGTCATCGACACGCCCGGGATCCTCTCCGGGGAGAAGCAGAGGATCAGCCGAGGTAAGCGAGACACGGGGTAGGTGTTGGCTCCAGGCCCCAGGGTTCTGGTACATTCACTTTCTTCCATACGAGAAGGGAAGCACCCAGGCCAGCATGCCTCCTGTGCTGTGTGGGGCCATTGGACTGGCCCAGTCCTGGGCAGGGGCCAGCAGAGGAATTCAGGTCCACTGTAGTTCAGGAGCCAGCTGGCCTCAGTCTTCTCATCTGTAAAATGGAGACATCGATATCTGCCTTACCTTGTCGGGTTTATTCATCTAAGAGGCACCTTCCGTGGGCCGACCCTGGCTTGCTTTTCATGTTCCTGGGGGGCTTGCAGTTCTGCAGGGAGCCAAAGGCATGCAGAGAAACTCAGCCCAATAGAATGAGTGCTCTGGGTCAGAAGAAGAGGGAATCGGGCCTGTGAACACAGTGAAAACTGTTCACTCCAGATAAATTCGGGGTAAGTGCTCTCTGAAGGAGATGGCCCGGCACAGGGGCTGGGAGACAGAATTCTGCAGCCCGACAGGCAGGTGCTACGCCTGCCTCTGCCACTTCCCAGCACAGTGCCCTGGGCAGGTTTCTTCACTTCACCTGCTTTCTCTGCAAAATGGGGGTGGGGTGGGGAATAATACTATCCGTCTTACAGAGTTGTTTGAGGATTAAAAGAAATAATATAGGTAAAAAGCCTCCTGCCTGGCACGTAGCAAGTGCCCAGTAAACACGAGGTATTCTAGATCATCATCATTACCAGCATCCTTGGTTTTTCCTAGCTCTGAATTACCGGACTAATGCTGTAAAAAGCTAAAAACACTGCTCTGAGCTCCCCACCCCCAGCCTTTCCTGCCACGATTTGCTGTGCCCGGGTGGCCCCCCACCCTTTCTGTGCCTTATGTTGTGTCTCTGGCAAGAAAATCAGATGATGCCATACCCGCCCCAATATGGGAGCTAGTTGCTGGTGCTGGAGCCAAACCAGCACTCAGAAGGCAGCCTCCGGGAAGGAAAGGCTTGGGACGGGTAGGTTCTCTGGGAAGCAGCTGGGACTCTCGCCTGAATTGACCTTAGGTGACTGTCTCTTCCCGGCAGCATGCACCTCAGCCCTCTGTGATCTGTGGCTGCAGCTGGGGCACACGCAGGTCTGTCCTGCCCATGTCTGTGCCAGCGTAGTGGGGGCCCAGGGACTCCTTCCCACAAGGGCGTGGCCTGCCCAGGCTAGCACCTGCTCACCCTTAGGCCTCCAGGAGGAGAGGCCACAGCCTCACCGGGTGACAGGCCAGTGTCCCTGTGGCTGTGTACTGATGAGGTCTGAGGGGTACAGGCCAGGAGTGCCAGAACCCGGCCTCTGTCCAGCGCTCCTGTGAGCCGCCTGGATGTCCTCGCTGAAGAGAGCAGCTCTCTCCCAGCGAGGGCAGGCGTGTGGTGCAGGGCCAGGCTCGGGGGCACTGTGGCTGTGTGTGAGCAGCCAGGGTACAGAGGGAAGACTCGAGGGCCAGCTTAACCCCAGTCAGCACTAAGGGAAGACACATCCTGGGCCGCTGGTCCTGGAGCGGGCAGGAGGGCACGGAGGCTGGGCGTCCTGAGCAGGAACCTGCGGGGAGGGAGCAGTCAAGTGGGAGGGACGTGGGAAACTGCATTGTCAGCTCCTGTAATTGGCAGTCTGTGAGCCCTGGGATGTCGTAGTGTCTCCTGGGAAGGAGCCTGGGTCCCCTGGCTCCCTGCCTCTGGGCCGTGTGTTGGGGGTGAGGGGAGCTGGAACCCGTGGGAAGAGAGGGCATCTCACCCTCCCTCCTCCCGGCCTGCATGCCTGTTGCAAGCACCTGCCTCCCTGCTCAGGGCCCTGTTTGTTCCCCTGAACACCCCTGCCTCCTAACCCACCCACCCCCACACCCGGGGGGTTCATCTGGGGCTCCTCCTGAGTTAGGCCTAAAGGGTATTTACTGTGTCACTCGGGCAGCCCAGGTCTCCTCAAGGAAGGCTGGGGAAAGCCAACACTTCTCAAGCTGAACGACCTGGGGGCGTGTGGGGCAGGGTTGGCACGTGCACCTGCAAGGCCAGTGCGGCCTGACAGGTGGGTGCAGAGGACTCCGGCCTCTGGGGTTTCCAAGGGCACTGGACTAGGAATTCACAGTTCTGGGCTTTAGAACCTCTATGTGTCTCAACAGGTGACACTTTCAGTGTCCCCACGTGTAACAAGGGATGATGATACGCATCGCATAGTGTTCTTGTGAGATCCATAGACCACTATGGAAACACAACCACAGCTCTAGGTCTGGGCCTGGGTCTGGTAAGCTCCCTAATCTGTCAGTCAGGGCTGCCCATTATACAATCTCTGGGTAATCTATGTGAATGGTCCCCTTGTAGTTGTGCAGTGTACAACCTGTGCCACTGTACATTGCAGCTTGTTCCCACGGCCTCCTGCCTTCCTCAACTCCTATCCCATTCCATTCTTTTCCTATCCCTCTACCTCTCTACTGCCTTACCCAAATTGAGTGCTTGGCGTTCTTACCTGTACTTCCTCTCCTCTCCCACCCCACACTAAGCACCAGATTCTACCCGCCTCTGGGAGAAGCGATAGTCCCATGAGTGGCTATGCAGGCTGGTTTGCTCTCTGCCCTCCTGAGTCCAGACTATAAATGCAACTCTTGGCAAGAGCAGCCTGTGATAAAAACAAGAGCTGGGAGCTTGGCCACCAGCACTGTATTGCCAGTGCTGACCTCAGGAGATCAGGAAAGTGGTAGAGGGCGTCGGAAACCCCAGTGATCAGTGGGAGTCCAAATGAAGAATGTTTGCAGTGTGTAGAGGCCCTTCCCATCCTTCCTCACAACCAGTCATAGAACCCGTGGTTCCAGTTTAAACCTACACACATAGACCTCCCTCCATGCACACACACACTCTGCCCGCACACTTACCCACAACACACACCCACCATCACATACACGGACACACCTCCCCTCCTACCCCAGCCCCCGCCCCCCAAGTGTGTGTGCATAGAACCAAACTCGCTTTGCCGTGGCTTCTTGCCTGGGCCTCTCAGATCCCTGGGTTTGGATGCAGAGCAGATTGGTCACTTCATCCCTTCCTTGGGCCAGCCCAGGGATAGTCCTGCAGACTGCGCCCTGCACAAGGGTATACAGAGCCTGAAATCCAGCCCACGTTCCACTCACCAAGCCACATGCCTGGCACAGGGTTGCGTCTCTCCAGAAAAGGGGGCCTATTAGCAAGACAGCATAGAGGCACCGACGGGCCACACTAGGCTGCCCATTCTGGGGAGTGAGCTGATCTCAGGAGCTCCCTTTGCCCAGGCTGGGGGGGATGTGTATCTTGGGGGGAGAAACTGAGTCCAGGAGGTCCCGGGGCCAGCGCTTGTCTCTGGATGAGGATGTGCCGGGGTGGGCAGGGAGGCAGTTCCTGGAAGGGGCAGGATGTGCCTGGCCCAGGCTCATTACTGGGAAGAAGCGAGGATGCAGCAGAAGTGGGAGGCTCCGGAAGGCTGAGTGTCCTCAGCTTGGGAACCACATTTCCTGGCTGCTTCCCAGCTAGTCGTCCCCACACGCCCCCACCCTGGAAAAGCAAGCCCTGGGGCTGGGTGCTCACGTCACGGACTACACGGCTGGAGGCTCTGCCGAGCAGACCAGACCTTTTCCTGCACAGGTGAGCTCGGCAGGCCAGAGCAGGTGATGGCTTGGCCCGGTCACACATCTGGAGTGGGAACCCTGGTCTCCCGATCCCCGGTCCAGTGGCTTCTTAGCACATGTCACCACCTGCCCAGGAAGACTCAAGGGGTAGGAATGAGGGCAAAGCTCACGTTTCCTAGTTTCCTCTGACGGTTCTAGGGCTCAGACGTTGGTGGGCCTGGGCTGGTCCTCAGCCTCGCTCCCCCAGCCCATCCCCCTACCCTCCCTGGAGTCCAGGCCTCCCCAGACTGTGCGCTGGTGCACACACGCTCGTGCAGCACTTGCATGCCAGGGCAGAGCAGCTGGGGCCTGACACCCTTCAGAAGTCCTTGCTAACAGCTTTGTGGTCGTCGGGAGGCCTGTGATGACCTGCTTAGGCCACTCTGCAGTTACTTCGGGGAGGCATCTAGTGTGGCATTTGTCCCCTGTTGTCAGCCAAACTCCTCCCACATTTTGAAAATTGGTGGCTTTTTATTTCTCCTTTGCTAAAATGTCTTTAAATCTTGACAGAGATTTTTTGGGAAGGGATAAGACTTTTTATGTACCCACTGCAAGCAAGTGCCTGGTTGAGGGCTCAGCCTCCGAGCTGCCGGCTCACAGGGCTGTGAGCTGAGAGGAGACGGTGGACTGCAAGGCAGGGATCTGGGTTCCAGGCCTGAGTTTGCTGCTACCTGGCTGTGTGAGCTTGGGCAAGCCCCTTAACCTCCTGCGTCCCCACTCCCTCCTCTGTAAGGTAGGCGTGTCCTATTTACCCCCTGGAATATGGGCTTGTGAGGATCAGGGGAGGCCCTGCGCAAACGCGAAGAAATGCACGGCCTTTCAGACCACGGAGGAAGCCGGAGGGTGATGGAGGAGTGGCCTTGCTTATTGCATTTGTCTGATTGATCTCCTTCTGCCTGGCATCGCTTAGAAATGCTTTCTTTCCAGTCCTCTGGCGCCTGTTGTTGTGGGGAGCACAGATCCCTGCAGGCTGCCCAGTCTCCCGGCCCGGAGCCTGCCGACCAGATCGCTTAGAGCCGCCAGGCTTGCTCTGAGAAGTCCAGGAAGGGCTCCTCCGCCTTGTCTCCTGGGGCTTGAATCTCCCCATCCTCTAGTCCATAGTTCTTGAAGCCTTGGGCTGCTGTGGGTCTCAGAGCCCTTCCAGGCCTGAGTTTGCTGCTACCTGGCTGTGTGAACTGAAGAGATGGAGGGGGAGGAGATGAAGGGGGCCTGTCCCTGGGCCTGCTGTTCACCCCAGACACTGGGGCCAGCCCCTCCCTCCGCTGTGGATCGTGTTGCCATGGCTCTACTGCAGGGCCCTCACTCAGTCCATCGTTATTATGCCCATTTTAAAGCTGAGAAAATTAAGGTTCAGACTTGCCCAAGGCCACACAGAAAGTAAGTGGGGGAGCTAACCCTATGCCCTCTTCCTGCTGGCTCCAGTCTGTGCTGTCTCTGTCTGTTCTAGATATGCACGTAAGTCCAAGCCAAAGAAACAACTAAATACCCACCCACGAGTTACTGCATTAGCCAGGAGCAGGGAGGCTGAGCTTCAGAGGAATCCCACAGAGTCTTTGCCGGGCAGTCACCTGCACAGCCACCCCTGGAGAGCGAACCCCTGGCATTACTCAGTTTGTAACGTGATAGCAGCTTGCCTGGGCACGCAGACTTTGCAGAAGTAGCAGGATGAGTAGGCGGCCTCTTTGCTTCTGGAAGCATAGAAAGGGTTCCTGGAAGCCATCAGCCTTCATGTCGGCATCCCCGGGGTGGGCAAGACAGCGCTCCAGCCCCGCTGTGCCTGCACAGGTTTTCGTTGTGTCTAATCTCCTTCCGTCCTACTGTCCTCCCCACCCTCACACCCCTGGTCTCAGAGCAGGGAATTGTGAACTGAGAAAGGAAGCTCAGAGATCATCCAGCTCAACCCCCTGGTTTGACAAACAAAGAGACCAAGGACCAGAGAGGGGAGGCTGCTTGCCTGAGGACACACAGCAAGTTAGTGGCTGAACAGAAACTGGCAGTGGACTCGTGTAGGCCAGTGTTCCTCTGGTGACCCCGTTAGAGCACATCTCATCTCATGGAAACTGGCACTTAGAGGGAACACTTTATAAAGGGGCCGGGGTGATAAGAACAGCCAGGGCCACAGACCAACAGTTCCACCTGCACCTTCTGATTTGATTTGAGCCTCACCACAGCCCTGTGGTGGAGCCACTGGTGGGTTCCAATTCAGACACCAGAAAACTGAGGCCCAGAGATGACTTGTTCACTGCCTCCCAGCTGTACAACATGGAACAGGGCTCCTAGCCCAGTTCTGTTCAGCAAATACTGACGGAGCACCTGCTGTGTGCCAGGCACCGTGCTGGGTGCAGGGGAGGCCGAGGAGGGGGAGGTGCTGCCCTGCCCTGCCCCGCTCCCAGTGAAGGTGGGCATGGATTTCTGTGGGACGAGCAGCAGATACATGGGTGCTGCGAGACCACTGAGGGCGGGACGGGGACAGGCAGGTGGCTGTCCTGTTCTGACAGCGTGGACAAGTTTCTGTCCTCAGCCCCTCATGCCCTGCTTGCAGACACAGCCTCGCCATCCATACATCACTGGTGTCATCAGGGATTGGAGCGAGGTTGGAGGATCAGAGCCTTTTCTCTTCTCTGCCAAGTCTCTGATGCCTTTGCTGTCCCCAGCCCCATGGAGGGGTGGCTACGGTGCCAGAGTTCCCTACCGCTGCTTGGCCTTGGGCCTTTCTCTCACCCTCCATGAACCTCCATTTCTGGCTGCCTGAGCAGCTGTTCTGAGCAGCCGAGCCACAGTGTGGGGCCAAGATTTGCTGACAGGTGGGCGGGGGCGCAGCTGCTCTTCCCAGCAACCCTCCCAGGGGCCTCTCAGCCACAGCTAAGATCCCAACTGGGGAGCAGTAGACAGCAACCTGGGCCCCAGCCGCCCTCCCACCCACTGTGGAGGGCAAAGCGTGTGGCTGCAGGCACCAGAGCAGCAGACATGGCCTGTTTTCAGAGGTGGGCGTTGCAGAGGGGGCTCAGGCTGCCCTGATTTTCTGAGCCCTCTGGCTCTCTTCCCTCCCACAGCTGGGGGTGGGGGGGCTGCCTTTGGGAGATGACAGCAGCCCTGCCACAGGCTGTGCTAACGGGAAGATAAAAATAGGCTGGCGCCATCTCTGGGGAGGGAGGAGTGCGGGCAGCAGCTTCACCTGGAGTGGGAGCGCTGGGCCCTTCTGGGGAGGAGCAGGCTGGGCCTGCGTGCCAGGGAGGGGGAGGCAGAAGCGGCCAGGTGCAGTGCGCTGCGGGCACAGTGCTCCTTGCAGGGAACCCAGGGCCCCTGCGGCCGCATCCGGTCTTGGCCCCGCCACTTGGGGGCTTTCCTACTCTACTTTCTGAACATCAGTTTCCTCCCCTGGAAGTGAGAATGATACTCCTCGCACTGCCCAGCTCACGGGGCGTCCTGAGGGAGAACGGAGGTAGTGATGTGAATGTCTTGCCAGCTACAGCAAGCACTGAACTTGGAGTTGGAGAGCTGGGGTTGCAGACACGGGCAGCTCCGTGCAAGCAGCGTGGTCCCGGCTGGGTCACTAAACCTCACAGAGCCTGTGCGAATGTCTCCGAGGAAGGGCTGATAATGCCCCTGCCCCGTGGCTGGGCAGAACCCGCCTCTGAAGCACTTTCCTGGGCCTTGCCCCTGGGCTGAGAGGACGCTTTGCCTTGAATGAGCCAGCTGGATCTAGTTTACGGCAGGCCCTCAAGTACGCGCCACGCGGGGACCTTTCTCAGGTGGCACTTGGATGACACTAGGCTAACTCTGCTCCTTCCTGGGCCTTGGTTTCCCCATTTGAAAATCAGGAAGTTGGACAACTGATCCCAGCTCTTCTTAGCCTCGTGGGTCTACCTTACAGGAGCAGGGAGAGAAAACGCACGTGTTAATTGAGATGTATATTAATTGAGCAGCTGACAGATCTTGGAGAAATCACATGGGAATGACAATATCTGGAAGCATTTCCAGTATCCAAGGGAGGGTTCTACCTTCTGTGGTTAGTTGAATTCTCTTACAGCCACTGGGAAAGTGTTACAGAAAGCCGTCCTCTGAGGAGCTTCAGGGAGCAGGTTTCCCTGTTCATGCTGAGCCCCTGTGGTGACGCCTTCACGTGCCCTAAATATATCCCCCACTGGGTGTTCAAAAGATGCCGCAGGGCCAGAGGGGAAATACTTTTAAAACCTAGGTCCCTCGGCTCCATCCACCCTCATCTTCCACCCCATCAAAGGCTGTAGCTTAGTCTGAAATGACAACCGTTCAAAGCCAGCTCGATGCAGTGTTTAATAGCATTGACTCTGGAGCCACCTTCCTGGGTTCGATTCCCAGCCTCACCACCTACCAGCTGGGTGACCTTGGACAAGTTCTTTTACCTCTTTGTATCTCTGGTCACTCATTGGAAAAATGCGAGCAATATTAGTCTCCACCACATAGGGTCATGTGGGGATTAAAGGAGTTAATGATTACAACGTACTTAGACTAGTGCTTTGCTCCTTGTGAATGCTACATAAATGCCAGCTGTTATTACCGTTATGATGGACCAGTGGTTCTCAAAGTGTGGTCCTCGGGCCAGCAGCATCAACATCTCCTGGGAGCTTGTTGGAGATGCCCCGCCCTAGACCTGCTGAATCAGAAACTTTGGGGGAGGAGTCCAGCCACAGGGTTTTAACAAGCCCTGCGGGGGATTCTGCTGCAGACTCAAGCTGAGGACTCCTGTTACAGACAATCAGAGCTTCTCACTGACCACTCACACGTGCCTGGTGACCCTGCCTGGTGTCTAGCCTCCCTCTGTGAAGCAGGGCAGGAGCCGCTAACTTTTTCCTAATGGTTTGGTTTCCCACTCAGCAGTGGCAATGAGCTTTGAGTTCCCAGGGTGTGTTCCTTGTAACCCTTGTGCTGTGAGGGCCAGGGTTGTTGATCACATCAGAGCCCAAGGAAAAGCTCCTTCCTGGGTGCCAGAGGTGTGCTGTGAGGGAATGGCAGAAGAGGGGCCTGGGAGCCCTGCTCAGACTCAGACTGAGAAAGCCTGACGCCTCCATTCTCATCCCAGTGTTGCTGCTCATGAGCTGTGTGCCCTTGAACAAGGCACTTGACCTCTCTGAGTCTCACTTCCTCATGTGTTGTCCTTCTATTTTATGGAAGAGGAGACGGCAGCACAGAGTGGTAAGACCTCTTGCAGCTCTGAGCATTAGTGAATGCACAGATCGTTGGCATGACCTGCTCCTCCAGTCCTTCCCAGATCCATAGCTCCTCGGGGTTGAGCGCAGCAAGTGCTCTGGGGCTCCTGGAACCAGCCTGACCTGGAGTAGCTCAGTGCAAGGGACGACAGCCAGAGGCACAGTCATAGCCTAAGGAAGAAACTTCTTGTGGTTTTAAGAGTTGGGAGTTCTGTGCTGCAGCCGATGACAAAGGAAAGAAGTGAGCTCACGTGCATGAGTAAGAACAAGTCGTGTGTTTTTATAACAAGAACTGCAGGTCAGGAGCAGTGGCTCACGCCTGTAATCTTAGCACTTTGGGAGGCCAAGGCAGGAGGATCGCTTGAGGTCAAGAATTCAAGACCAGCCTGAGCAAGAGCAAGACCCCCGACTCTACTAAAAAAAAAAAAAAAATGGAAAACATTAGCTGGGCAACTAGAAATAGAAAGAATTAGTTGGGCAACTAGAAATAGAAAGAATTAGCTGGGTGTGGTGGCACATGCCGGAGGCTAAGGCAGGAGGATCGCTAGAGGCCAGAAGTTTGAGGTTGCCGTGAGCTAGGCTGACACCCAGGCACTCTACCCCGGGACGACAGAGTGAGACTCTGTCTCAAAAAAAAAAAAAACCCTGCAGATTTCTTCCAGATCCATGATGGGTATGGTCTGAACCATCATCAACATCTTACGTTTTACCATTTCATTGTGTTTGGACCTTGGAAAGAATTTGAGTCTTTATATCAGATTAGGTGTCCAGATGTTCCTCTCTGGCAGGGCTGTCAGATACAAGAAGCAAGGATAGGGGCTGGATGGTGCCTGTGCTTTGTGGGAATAATGTTGGTAATAATAACTGGTGTTTACTGAGCATCTACTAAGTGCTGGGCTCTGAGTGTATTTAATCCTCATAATTCAAACAACTAGGTACCATTATGTATTATGCCCATTTTTAAGATGAAAAGACACTGACTAAGAGACATTGAATAACTTGCTCAAGGCCACTTATAACATGGAGGAGCCAGAATTTGAACTCAGATCTGCTTCCCAAGATTGTGTCATTTCTACTGCACCTGACTGCCTCTCCCCAAACCACTACCCTGGGCCCCAAAGGCCCCTGCCCTGACTATCCCTCTGCTGACAGGATATGACTTTGCGGCCGTCCTCGAGTGGTTTGCCGAGCGTGTGGATCGCATCATTCTCCTCTTCGATGCCCACAAGCTGGACATCTCTGATGAGTTCTCAGAAGTCATCAAGGCCCTCAAGAACCACGAGGACAAGATGCGGGTGGTGCTGAACAAGGCCGACCAGATCCAGACACAGCAGCTGATGCGGGTGTACGGGGCCCTCATGTGGTCCCTGGGGAAGATTGTGAACACCCCAGAGGTGATCCGGGTCTACATCGGCTCCTTCTGGTCCCACCCCCTCCTCATCCCTGACAACCGGAAGCTCTTTGAGGCAGAGGAGCAGGACCTATTCAGGGACATCCAGAGTCTACCCCGAAACACTGCCCTGCGCAAGCTCAACGACCTCATCAAGAGAGCCAGGCTGGCCAAGGTGAGGCGGCCCCGGGGCAGGTGGGCAGCCTGGGCGGGGCCAGGAGTTGGAGGGGTCAGCTGCAAGAGCAGAGGGTTGTCACCTCCAACAACTGGGCTGTTGCCTGCCCGTGTGAGAGTGTCCTGGAGCCACTGCATCACGAGCGGGGGACAGGAGAGTGTGGTGGCCATGGTTACAGGCTCTGGGGTCAAATGGCCAGATGGGAGCCGGATTCCCCTGTTATTGTCTGTGTGATGCCCAGCCCCGGCAAGGCTCTTAGTCTCTCTGTGCCTCTTTCCACCTCTGAAAAATGAAAGGGTCGTCGGAGGGTAAAGTGGAATAAAGACTGTCAAAGCCCTCGTCACAGTGCTCGGCACTTTAGGAAGTGCTCAGCAAACATCAGCAGCGTGACATCCCCAAGCAACTGTTCCTTGACCTTAGCTTCCCACAGCCTCGCCTCGCCCAGGCGATGTAGAGAAACAGCCCAGCACTGCAAGCACCCTCTAGAGAGGGTGGAGGCAGGAAGTATTAAGGAAGTAGGAGCAGGAGAAGGGAGGGATATAGGGGAAGGGATGGGGTGAGAGCAACCCTAAAGGAAGGTGTCGCCAAGGGTCTTGACACGAAGGCTTCTCTCTGGCCGTTTGTCAGGTGCATGCCTACATCATCAGCTCCCTGAAGAAGGAGATGCCCTCGGTGTTCGGCAAGGACAACAAGAAGAAGGAGCTGGTGAACAACCTGGCTGAGATTTATGGCCGCATTGAGCGGGAGCACCAGATCTCACCTGGGGACTTCCCCAACCTGAAGCGGATGCAGGTAATGAGGGTCAGGGGCCCGAGGGTCAGGGGCCCCAGGACCAGGGATGATGTCCCCAAGCTGGCTGAGAAGGCTAAGTGTGGAGGAGGCCACCCGTGGGGCCCCCAGGGAGAGACTAAACCCAGAATCAGCAGGCCTGGACCTGCTCTCCCTGCCGGACTGTTACTGGCCCAACAGGTGTCTGGGCCTGGGGAGAAACACGGAGCTCAGCATGCCCAGTGGGCGCAGGTGTCTTAGATGAGGTCTGGGGGCTGACACTGCTAATTGACGACCTTTCCTGGTCACAGCCAGGCTTGACGTCCTCGCCATCTCCTGTGCAGTGGGACGGGTCACCTGACTGAGTGTCCAGGCCCTTAAGTACTTAAGTTTTCCTCTGAGCTCCCCTTTAGGAGCAATCTGGGATGCAAGCCACACAGAGGCAGAAGTGCGCGTGGGAGCTCGCCATCTTCAGGCCACGCTGCCGCCCCTGTCTTGGGCCAAGGGCCATCTCATGTGGTTTCTCATGGGTTTGCCCAAAGCAGTCCTTGGAAGGAGGCATTTTCATCTGCCTTTTACAGATGGAGAAACTGAGGTCTCAGCATTTTCCAGGTGTAACATTCACATAGTCTGCCAGTGGGAAAGCCAGGAGCTATCCCCAAGGTCCAAGTAAGAAACCTCCACACCACACTGACCGGATCCTCTCTGAGCCTCTGTCTCCTCATCTGTAAACTGAGGCTACAAAAGCACCCCTTGTACAGGTGTGGTGAGCACCACTGAGATAATGTTTGCAAGGCCCTTAGCACAGAGATCGACACAGACTATGCCCTTCTTATGCAGTAGCAGTTGTCACGTGAGATGTCACCAGTGGGGGAAGTTGGGTGGTGAGCACAAAGGACTCACATTACCCTCTGTACAATTTTTGCAACTTCTTGTGATTCTATAATTATTTCAAAATAAAAAAAGGTTTTTTCAATTAGGGAATAAGAAAACAAAAAGTTAGCAGCCACGGAAGTGGTTAATAGATGTTGTTGCTTTTGTTGTTGTTTTGCTCTTTAGCTAACTTGGGAACCAGTGTCTCTAACTAAGACTAGGGTTTGCAGAACATCACTATAGTCCCATATAGGCATTTTTAGTTTCCTATCAGGTAAAATGAAAAGAAAAAAAAATACACATTCCAGGTATGCATTTGTCTATTTATCAGTTCACTCATATAACCCTCTACCATGAGCCAGTCCCTAATTTCAGCATTGCTTAAACATAACTTGGAGTTTTCAATCAGCCTTGGCTTGGAACACTTCACCTCTTCAGTTCTCCTTGTTTAGAGTTTAATGATCTGTAAACAAACATTTGGGAAGATGACATTAGAAAGAGACCATACGACCCCCTTTCATAGTGTGAGGAATCCTTTCAAAACATAAATCTTTTCACCTTCTTATTTGTTTGCCAGTTCAATATTCTGTTGTGTAGTTGGATATGCTGAGGCAATAATGCAAACAGCTTTCCTCTGGGAGTGTACGTGTAGGGTGATGGCAGCATCCACTGTGTCCCCGGGGAGATACTCAGATCCATCCCGCCAAACACACCTAGAGGTGACCTGGCTGGCAGAGACAAGAAGAATGGAGGCAGGAGGCACCGCGAGAGGTTATACCCTGAGGGCGGGAGATGGGGTATTGTCTGCTCTGCCCCCCACACCACCTTCCGTCCCTTGCATCCCTGGCTCCCTGGCTCAGCCCCACCTTAGGAGAGAGATGAGAAGCATCCAGGCTAACACTTGCTCTTGAAATGTAGCTGTGAGTGTTTTCTGAATTTTTCTGTCCCTGTGCCCTGGCCTCTTCCCAGCTAGAGCCAGAGCAGGAGCAGAAAGCTCTCACCTTGTCATCCTCTAGAGGCCAAGGAGAAGTTGGGTGTTCTAGACTCTGGACCTTACAAAATTGCAAAGACCTACAAAGTAGAGCATATTTTTTTTTAATGATATGGTGTGGGTAGTCATGTGAAGGCAAGGAAGGGAGGTTTTACAAGACCTGTGTGCCTGCCTGTGCCTGCTGTGTCAAACCCTCGGGGGAGGAGCCCGGACAGTCATGTGTCAGTTAACAACAGGGACGTGTTCTGAGAAATGCATCGTTAGGCTGTTTGGTGGTTATCGAACACCAAAGAGTGCACTTACACAAACCCGATGGCATAGGCTACTACACAGCCTGGCTGATGGTGTGGCCTACTGCTCCTGGACTGCAAACCTGTCCTACAAGCGTGTGACTGTACTGAATACTGCAGGCAACTGTGACACAGTGGTGGGATTCGTGTATCCAAACATATCTAAACATAGAAAAGGTATAGTAAAAATACGGTATAAAAGATAAAAAATTATATACCTGCAGAGGGCACTTAGCATGAATGGAGCTTGCAGGACTGGAAGTTGCTGTGGGTGGATCAGCGAGTGGGTGGTGAGTGAAGGTGAAGGCCTAGGACACGACTGTACACCATTGTAGGCTTCGTAAACACTGTCACTTAGACACTTAATTTATAAAAAGTTTTTCCTTCTTCAATAATAAATTAACCTTTTTACTTCATGAACTTTTTAATTTTTAAACTTTTTGACTCTTGTAATAACACTTAGCTTAAAAATACAAACACATTGTATAGCTGTACAAAAATATTTTCTTTCTTTATATCCGTGTTGTTAGGGTGAAAAGCCTAGTAGCTGCTCACGGCGTGGGTGGAGAAATATTTCTCACTCAGAGGTTAAGATATATAAGTAAAAAGTTTATTTTATCCTTTAGGACAGAGAGCACGAGAGAGACAGAGACAGAGGAAGGAGAGGAGGGAGAGCAGGGAGACAGCGTGGCATCCCGAAGAAAGAGAAGGGGGTGCCAGTAGTGGGGCCGAGTGGCTTGCTGATTTTAAGGGGGGCGAAGAGAAAAGAAATAGTGACGGCTGTCAGTTGATAACACAAGCGGCAGCAGGTAGGTAACAAAAACTGCAAGGATGTCAAAGTCCAAGACTTGGTTTCCTTGGAGAAGGGATTATCACAGGAGATGTGACTCTGTCCTCAAGATATGATGGAGGCTGGAGCTCCTTCTCCTGCTGTTTACTCAGGAACTCTATAAAAGCAGATTCTCAAAAAAAATTTTGAAAGAGAGAGATTTACATCTCTTTTCTGTCCATTCAGCTCTTTTCAGAAGTTGTGAAAAACAGAACTCCTGCAGGGTGTCTGTTAATGAGAGAACTCAAAGGACTGATCTTTAACCGTTACTGGGGAAATCATAGGATTAGGTATTTTCCTGTTATTTTTGCAAGGCTGCCCCTTTCACTTATTCTATAAGTTTTTTTTTTTTTAAATGTCTTATTTTATTTTTTACTTTTAAAATTTTTTGCTAAACACTAAGACACAAACATACACACATTAGCCTAGGCCTACACAGGGAGGGTCAGGATCATCAATGTCACTGTCTTCCACCTCCACACCTTGTCCCACTGGAAGGTCTTCAGGGGCAAGAACAGGCATGGAGCTGTCACCTATGATAACAATGCCTTCTTCTGGAAACCTGAAGGACCTGCCTGAGGTTGTTTCACAGCTAACTTTTTTTAATAAGTAGGAGTACATTCTAAATATGCAATAATAAAAAGCATAGTATAGGCCGGGCGCGGTGGCTCATGCCTGTAATCCTAGCACTCTGGGAGGCCGAGGCGGGCGGATTGTTTGAGCTCAGGAGTTCGAAACCAGCCTGAGCAAGAGCGAGACCCCGTCTCTACTAAAAATAGAAAGAAATTAATCAGACAACTAAAAATATATAGAAAAAATTAGCCTGGCATGGTGGCGCATGCCTGTAGTCCCAGCTACTCGGGAGGCTGAGGCAGAAGGATCACTTGAGCCCAGGAGTTCGAGGTTGTTGTGAGCTAGGCTGACGCCACGACACTCTAGCCCGGGCAAAAGAGTGAGACTCTGTCTCAAAAAAAAAAAAAAGCATAGTATAAGTAAATACATAAACCAGTAGCATATTTGTTTATTATCACCATTAAGTTTTCTGTATTATACGTAATTGTATGTGCTATACTTTTACACGACCGGCGGCACAGTAAGTTTGTTGACACCAGCATCACCACAAACACATGAGTAACGCATTGCACTAGGACCTTGCAAAGGCTCTGATGTCACTAGGCAATAGGAATTTTTCAGCTCTGCTATAATCTTATGAGAACACCGTTGCATATGTGGTCCATCATTGGCGCATGACTGTTTTGAAACTCTTAAGTGAATTCCAATGAGCATCCTAATTAAGAACCATAGGTTTGTTGGTGACCGTTGGACTCAAAGATTTGGTTTTAGTAGCCCGTGCCTGTTTTTCCTTCACTCAATGGGGATAGAATGTGATTTTCCCACCTCAGAAGGGCACTGGGGTAGGGAAGGCACCTGCAGTGTTTTCAGGTACAGTGTAACCCTTGTTAGAGTAGAGCCCCACGTGACTCAGTCTCAGAGGCTACAGCATTCAAGAAACATTAGTCAATAGCCAAAACTAACGTAAAGAGAAATTTAAGGACTTATTCTCTGGAATAACATTAAAGGAGATTGAAATAAGTAGATCAAACCAATACTTGTTAAAATTCCCCTTCTTCCCCAGCCCCTGCAACTGTTCTGCTCCCTCCTGAAAAACTCTGTCATCAGCCCAGTGGGGCTTTTTTTCTCCTCCTCTCTCATATCTCTGGTGATTTTGTGACGTAGATCAACTTAGCCTCTAGACCAAACTCCTTGCATTGGGGAAAGGAGCTGACTGTGAACATTCCAGTATTAATAGAGGCATCTCCCCTCCCGACAAATGGACAGATTGGATGTTTCTCTTTCCATTGTGTTCTACCTTCTTTTCTCTCCCTCTTCGCAGGACCAGCTGCAGGCCCAGGACTTTAGCAAATTCCAGCCGCTGAAGAGCAAGCTGCTGGAGGCGGTGGACGACATGCTGGCCAACGACATTGCCCAGCTCATGGTGCTGGTGCGCCAGGAGGAGTCCCAGCGGCCCGTCCAGATGGTGAAGGGAGGAGCATTCGAGGGCACCCTGCAAGGCCCCTTCGGGCACGGCTACGGGGAGGGGGCCGGGGAGGGCATTGATGACGCTGAGTGGGTGGTGGCCAAGGACAAGCCCATGTACGACGAGATCTTCTACACCCTGTCCCCCGTGGATGGCAAGATCACAGGCGCTAATGCCAAGAAGGAGATGGTGCGCTCCAAGCTGCCCAACAGCGTGCTGGGCAAGATCTGGAAGCTGGCCGACATCGACAAGGATGGCATGTTGGATGACGAGGAATTCGCGCTGGCCAACCACCTCATCAAGGTCAAGCTGGAAGGGCATGAGCTGCCCAATGAGCTGCCCGCCCACCTCCTGCCCCCGTCCAAGAGGAAACTTGCCGAGTGACGGGGGCAGGGGGAGGTTCAGACAGGCGGGTGTTAGAGGAGGAGATGGGAGCAGTGACCACACACACACACATGCACACACAGATCTTGAGAATTGCACCGTAGACGAGAGAGGACAGTGATCCCTACGTTTCCAGGCTGATCCTTGTTTGGACACATCTCCAAGTTCTCGGGGTTAGTAGAAGGGAAGGAGCACTCCCAAGTCCAAGGGTTCAAGCCTACATTTCCATCCCTCTTTCCTTCCGGTCTTCCACTCCTCAGAGACCTGAGACAATTCACTCCAGCACAGACGGCAGCCCACGCCCACATTCCCCAGTGCCTCCGCACCCCCACACCCGGCTCTGAGCAGACGGAAGAGGCTTTGCATTTATGAGGCATTTCACTTTTTTCTGCAGTTCCCCCCCTCTTTGGCTTCCTAGTAAGTAATGTACTCAGGGGCTAGGAGAGATGAGGTGTGGGGGCCACTGCAGGTAGCGGGGGAAGGAAGCATCCTCCAGAGACGGTGGCCATGAGCCCTGTTCTTTCCTAATCTAAGGCTCTGTCTTCCTCGGCAAATCGGGCTTTGAACTCCACCTGCACTTCGTTTCAAAGAATCCCAGCGGGGGACAGAGAAGAGGAAACATTGGTTGGAAAGAGCAAGGAAACTGCCCTGTAGTCAGCTCAAAACCAGTCAAGGTGGTTTTAGTTTATAGATTTTATGAGATTCATATTCTTTTCACCGGCCTGTGATGTTTGGATGTTCATACTTGACTCACCTTTTCCCAGCCCCTCCTGTGTGCCAGGACCTGCATTCGGCACTTTGTACACATTATTCCACGTGGCCCTCACTATAGCCCTGGGAAAGTATGTGGTATTCTCCCCATTTTGCAGACGAGGAGACTGAGAATCCTCAGAAGGGTTTAGGTGACCTTCCCAAACTCACAGAGGTCACCTGTGCTGGAGAGAGAATTCCAAGCCAGAGCCTCCAACCCTCACACCCTTCCCTGTGCTGTGACGTGTGCAGATCCTGGCATTGCTACCTGGTGGCAAACCGTGGAGAACATGCCAAGCACGCAGGCCCCCTCGCAGCCTCCCAGAGCAGGCTGGCAAAGGGGGAGGGCTGGCCAGCATTTGGTGGGCCATCAGTCTGGCCATCTGTCACAGCACAGAAGCAAACCGTGCCTTCTGGCTAAGCGCCCCACATTCCTTACATCACAGAAGCCCAGCAGCTCCAGGGGGAGAGTGGGCTGGCCCGCTGGAAGCTGTTCGTGCCGTCCCTGCTCAGCCTCCCACGTGGTATCCTGAATCATCCCAGCTCAAAGGCAGCCGCCAGCTCTTATCAAGTGGGACCCCATGCTAATTCTCGGCTAACTTGAGGGGTCCGGGGTCTTGTTCCCTGCAGTGTCCCCTGGGACTGTGAAGTGTCCTTGGTAAACCCCCACATACTCAATGCCCTACTTCCTCCTTCATGGTCCCCCCCTCACTCCTGGCTTGCTTCATGGCCACTGAATCAGTCACTTCGTATGCTATGCGGTGATGGCAAACAAAACAAGTATAACTTGTTTTATATCTATGTTCAGACTATATAGAGAATATTCTATGTGTCTATGATGTGCTTACTACTGCAGTGCATTTGTCATTAGTGTTCATGTTAATACATTTATTCTTTGGTACACGCTTGGCCGCGATGTGTCATTCATTGGGAGGCTGAGGAAGAGGTGCTGGGTTCTTGCTGAGAAGTCCTGGCAGCATCTTTGAGAGAATGGCTCGCTGGGGCTACCCGAGGGCCAGCATCCACAAACTGTGTGCCAACGGCCTGGTGCTTCTCTGGGCCCAGTGCCCACGCCAGGCAGAGCTGATGGAGCCGCCGCTCCCTGTCCCTCTGGAGTGGAGATGGTCCCTGAGCCTCTAGGCTTCCTTCTGCAAACACACATTTCTCTTTCACATGAAATGAAGGCCAAGGCAAAGAGCTCTCACTTTCTCTGGAGACAACCCCAGAGTGCCAAGCCCACTTGAGGGGCTGTTTCTCAGCTCCACATCTTTCTCTGAGCTGAAGGAGAAATGGGGAGGAAATGGCAGAGGTAGGCGAAGTTTCTGGTTTTTTATTTTAAAAGAGGGATATCTTATCCCTTCTCCCCACATGGACACGTGCACCCTTCTCCTGCCCTTCTACATTTCCTGCCTCTCTCCCGTCCCTTCTGCGGCACTGCACCCAGGAGGGATCTGTCACGTATGAGAACTCCATGTTTGCACTGCTTCCATCTCCTTGGAAAGAGGAAGTGACGTTTGAGGGTGCTCTCAGCGCGGGAGAGGAAAGGTGCCGGGCACTCTCTGGGACAGTGCCCTGCAGCCTCGCTGCCTTGGCCTGCTGACCCATCGCAGGCTTTGGGGGTTGGGGAGATCTCACACTTCAGCCTGGGAAACATCTACTAGGGAAAGCACAGACACGTGGCAGTCCCATGGACAAGAATTTCTAGAGCACCTGTCATACTTATTGCTCTTTTCCCCCTCATTACTTAGCCTGGGCCATGGAAGTCACCCAGTGAAAGCAGCAACACTCTACGCTATGTCCCAGTGAAGCTTGCCCCCGGTAGGTACCAAAGAGCTACGTCAGGACCAAAGGATAGTCTTGCACACGTCCAGGTGACTCCACTGGCCATGGCAGTGTGTGGCCCCAGTGCAGAGTGTGAGAAGTTGCCCTCAGTTGTCCCCACTTCCATTGGGTGCCCTCTCTTCCAAAAGCCTGTATTTATGAGTTAGCTCATCAGAGTTAGCAGAACTATCTGGGGAGGAGAATAGGTTTGTTTCTTCTCCCTGTGTGATGCTGACCGGCTTCTGTGCATATTCAGTCCTTTGTTCTTTAATTTGTCCATCCATCCATCCTTTTTGCTCAAAAGACACTGAGCACCTCTTACAGAAAACACCCTGAGGGGGAATCTGGAGCTTCATTCCTTGAGCCTTTCAAAAATGCTCAATAAAATCTACCTGTGTTCAGGAGCAGTTCTGTATGGATCAAATCCAGGTCCTAGAAGATCAAAGAGCTCACAGCCTGGTAAGGGAAGTGAGGCTGTTATGCAACACTGATAATACAAAGAGGGAACATGGAAGGGGGGTGCAGGCAAAGCAGGGGCTCAGGAGACCAGAAATGGCTTCAAACTGGGGAGACCGTGGCCAGAGAAAGCCTGGGCGAGAGTGGGCACTTGGGCTGCCCCCCAGAAACCTGCTGGGACCAGCCTCCTCTGCCTGTCCTCTTCTCTCCCTAATCTAGGACAGATAGGAAGGATTTTTATACAAAACTAAGCACAGAGCACTCCCCGCCCACCACATCTGACAGGCTGAGAACCAATGATGTATCAGAGAAAAAACATGATTAGAATCTTGCCTTCGGGGGCTGTGCTGGTTTTTCACAGGCCATTTTCAAGTGAAAATTTTATCAGCATCTTTAAAGGCGAAATTTTAAGTGCCTGGAGGAAAAGGAAAATGGTAATGGAGGAATGGCAGTTATCCCAGCCAGGGAGCATGATAGATAGCACATAGGGACTCCTCCTCCTCAGGGCTGTTCGCCACATTTTGGTTCTCCTTCCTTCTGGCTCATGGGAGGTCGAGCTTTCCACTCCTTTGAAGTCAGGGAGCTGTGTGACTTGCTTTGGCACGTGAAATAAGAGCATAAGCAACATGTCCCTTCCTTGCAGAAACAAATGCGCAGTTTGCCACATTCCACTTTTCCTGCCTGGCCAGGAATGCATGTGGGAGCAAGTGTGAAGATGGAGCCTTGGTCAGCCTAAGTCCCGGACCATGCTAAAACCCTTCCCAACCCACACTGGACAGCTGGCATCAATGAGACATGCACTCTATCATTTTATGATAAGCCTTTGATAGTCATGGGCTATTACCCAGCATGGCCTGTACCATCGTACCCAGGAGACTGGTGAGCTCTTCCAGTCGTTCAGCCCATTCAGCAAGTGAAAAGGAGACTAAGTTCCTGACTTCTTAAGAACTGAGGTCACTGGACCAGGTGTGGTGGCTTATTCTGGTAATCCCAGCAATTTGGGAGGCTGAAGTGGGAGGATCACTTGAAGTCAGGAGTTTGAGACCAGCTTGGGCAATATAAAGAAACCACCTCCAACCCCTGACCCCTGTCTCTAAAAAAAGTTTTTTTAATTAGGCAGATGTGGTGGCACACTCCTGTGGCCCTAGCTATTCAGGAGGCCGAGGCAGGAGGATTACTGAGCCCAGAATTTCAAGGCTGCAGTGAGCTGTGATCGTGCCACTGCACTCCAGCCTGGGCAACAGAGCTAGACCCTGTCTCTTTAAAAAAAAAAAAAAAAAGAGCTGAGGTCACCTGAAGCTTAAGGGATGGGTGGGATTTGCATAAAGTCCTTCAGTGTCTGAGCCACAGTCTGTCATATCTAAGGCCCACCCTCTAAGTCCTTCTTTAGGACTTGCCTTCTCTCTGCAGGAATGTAGGTACTGGGGACTGACTGGGCATTTGTCTGCCTAGGGATACCCAGAGGCGTGGTCGGTTTGGAAAGAGAAAAACTACAATTCCCAGACTCCCTTGCAGCCAGGTTCAGGATGTGATTTGAGGTTTTGCCAACCAGACATACTCCTGGGAGACTGGGCTAAAGCAGATCATGCCGGAGGTGGACACAGCAGCTATACAGCTATAACAGCTTCCTGACCTCGTAGCTTCCTATGTGTGCTCAAGAAGCTGGAGGTGGCCGACACTGACAGGTGGCACCGTAAATGACTGTCTGCCACCTTGTGTTTGCCCACCTACCCACGGTGCCAGAGCACTGCTGCCATGTACAGAGGGGACCCAGGCTGCAGCGGGAGAGTGTGTTTTTCATGTGTGTGCATCACGTGCGTTTGGGTCGGGCTGAGAGGCTACACTGCGCTGGTTCTTGCTGGCTAAGTGAAGAGGAGAGGGCGTGGCGGTGCTTCCCAGAAAGGATGCTGTGGGGACATTTTCAAAGCCAGAGTCCCTTCCTAAGAATTTATGGGGATAAATGTGTTCACATAGGACACTTGAGACTGTAAAATAAGGACGTGTTAGAAGTAGCAGTTCTATCTCCCTCCCTAGAATTTCACGAAGGGTGGTTCCCCAACTCCCACCTAAGGGAGCATCACTGACGCACAGTGGTGGCAGCACGGCCTGAGGACAGGTCAGCACATAAACATGGAGACAAGAGGCTGGCAGTAGGGCTAGGGGAGCAGGAGATCTGAGTTCCACCATCTGAACAAGCCATGGAGCTTCTCTGGCCGTCTGTTTATTCTTCCTCCCAGGGGGTTTATTTCAGTCATTTGGAGATATTACGAGGATACAAGCAGACAACAGATGGGAAAGTTCACTACCAACATAAATACACGAGTGAGTTTTGTTGGCATATGCCATAAGAGGCACGGTTCAGGCAAGAGGTGAGAATCCCATCTCTGAGAATAAGAAAGCAGTCAAGCCCTGCAAAGGCACAGGGGAAAAGAGGATGGAAGAGGAGACGTGGAGGTCCCGGGCAAAGCAATGCTTGCCGTGTTGAATACCTGAAAGGTGCTCAGGGGCCTGGAGACTACCTAGGGGCTACCCGCAGGCCCTGGCCCACCATGGCCACTGCCACCAAGATAAATGCACGTCCCAGAGTCCCTGCTGGCCTTCCAGCCACCATGATCTGGTGCTGACCGGGGCTGTGAACTCTCGAGGGGCACTCACTGGGTGGTTTTGTGCTGGGGGCGGGGCATGTGACAGTTGCAATGCAGGCCACCTAACAACTTCAGAGGTGATAGCAGATCCTCCAGTGTGTTGAATGCATGACCCAAATGGCAAATATTTACCTTCATTCACTAAGTGTCAGGATCACACTATTTCATAAGGTAGATGTCTCCTTTTCTGCCAGCAGTGTTTGTTCACAGCATTTCTTAAGCCTCATTTAAGACAAGGAGCTAAGGCAGCGGCAATGCCAGAGCAGTGTAGCAAAAAGGGGACCCTCGCTGCATCCCAGTTCCATGGCAGGCTGGGAGTGGGATTTGGTTCCCCTTTGAGAGAATCTCAAGCTAGTGGCATCATGATGACCCTGGGGACTTCAGTCCAGGTTTCCCTTCTCATAGGCCACTCCCTCTCCCCCTTCCTGCTGTCCTGCCTGCCCCCAGCGCACACACACACACACACACACACACACACACACGCACAAACACACTTCATTCCTGTCATCCGTATCTGCTCCATCCCACAGAGCTGGGTCTTGCTGTGGCAGCACCGGCTGATCTGAGGAACCAGGAGGCTGCATGCACGACCGTGGCATGGCTTCCCTGACCCTGGTAGCAGATATGAATCTAATGGGAGCCTCCTGATCCCAGCAAGAGAGGCCTCCGCCAATCTAGCAGGGAAGGCAGCGAGAGATGAAGGATCAGGCGGGTGTTGGCCATGCTACCCTGTGGGCACCTGCTCATGTGCAGAATTCCCCTGCTCTTACGTTTCCTGAGTGCCTCCACAGCTTTCTTGGCTGTACAAGGCAATTCCCCTCATTCCAGAAAACCCTAGTCTTCAGGGGCAGGCACTGGGGTGAGAAGACAAAACTCACACCAAGGAAGTCAGCTGGCGCTTCTTGCCCTGAGAGGAGTAACAGTTCCAGCCCCCAAGCAGCTGCAGCCTGTCCTCTTGATACCCTGGTCGTCCGAGAGC